AGTGCTGCAAACACAGGAAACCGACAATCGTGGGAAGAGAAAAGAGACAAGGGATAAGGTTGGTGGGGTTGAGGTTATAAAAAAGAATTAACATGGAAGCAAGAGGCATACCATTGCGAAGCTAAAAGTATACTGAAAAATAAAACAGCACTGCTTTGTTAGTCCCAATAATGACATTTTCAACATGATCCATCTGTGGCCCTATTTCAGACCTGAAAGTAGATAATCTCTAATCTTTTCATTTGATTTTCTTTTAGACTCGAGTTGAATATTTTTTTTTAATTAAAGTGCAGTCCTCCTTCATTTCCAGTGGACTCATGTTCAAAATACAGGATGAGATTTTTTTTTTTTTTTTTTTAAGGGGGAAAGAGGTTATAGGGCTTAACTCAGGGACTGGGCACTGACCCTGAGCTTTTTTGTTCAAGACACTCTACCACTTTTGAGCCACAGGGCCACTCCCAGTGTGGTAGTTGATTTAAAGATAAGAGTCTCCTGGACTTCTCTGCCTGGGCTGACTTTGAACCAGGATCCTCAGAAATCAGTCTCCTAAGTAGCTAGGATTATAGTCGTGAGCTACTGGTACCAGGCTGAGATTTTTTTTTTTCTACTAAGGTGGCAGGGATTTTTGTTGTTGTTGATGGTGGTGGTGGTGGTCATGGGGCTTGAACTCTGGGCCTGAATGCTGTCCCTCAGCTGAAGGCTAGTACTCTACCACTTTGAGTCACTGCACCACTTCTGGTTTTCTGAGTGGTTTATTGGAGTTAAGAGTCTCATGGAGTTTCCTGCCAGGACTGGCTTTGAACCATGATCCTCAGATCTTAGCCTCCCGAGTAGCTAGGATTACAAGCATGAGCCACTGGCACCTGGCTGCAAGGATTTTTTTTCACGCCAGCCACTACAGTATAGGAGAAGATTGCTCTCACACATTGTTACCTTTGTAAATTACAAAAACTGTCTCTAGTGAGAGTTTGGCACACTGCATTAAATATAAATTGTATGTCTAACTATCCATCAAATTAACTTCCTTCATTATTTAAACTAAGTTGATACTGGTATAAGTTCCTTTTTTTTCTTTTTCTTTTTGCCAGTCCTGGCCTTGAACTCAGGGCCTGGCACTATCCCTGAGCTTCTTTTGCTCAAGGTCAACACTGTACCACTTGAACCACAGCACTGCCTCTGGCTCTTTTGTTTATGTGGTGCTGAGGAATCGAATCCAGGCCTTCATGCGTGCTAGGCAAGCACTCTACCACTAAGCCACATTCCCAGCCCTTTGAGTTCCTTTTAAAGGTAAATGCCAAAATAAATTACTGCAGTACATGCCCTACTTACAAAATTTCAACACAACCTGATATTCATGATAGGTTACATTACTTGTGATACATGTGCAAGCATGTACTATGTATGGAAAAGAATGGTTAGAATCTGTAGTGATGGCCATGGAACTTTTTATCAGCAGAAAACAGCAGGCTATAAAACATCAGATAGCCCTGTGTAGATACATCCCCAAAGATGATCTCCTGACAGCCTTGGACCTGTGCCCTGGCCTGCAGCTACCAGCCTGGCTCTGCCCCACTTCAGAAAGATGTTTAATTATTATGAAAGTCCTGGAAATGTGCAGTTCTTTCATAAGACATCAGTGACATCAGCTGCCTTGCACCCACAGAGCAATTGCCTCACATGTTAAGAAATCCTATTATGACCTACAATAAGGGAGTTTGCTTTTCACTCTGACAGGAGTGAAATACACAGCTGAAACTTCATGAATCCTTTGGTTTATTTCAGCCTATTCTATTCATCTTCTCAGATATGTAAATTGAATTGTGATCATTGGCTGTGAAGATACCTTGTATATGATCTCAAAGCTAAATCAATAATGAAATCCCCTCAATGCCCCAGCATTTGAAAAAAATAAAATCTGTATCATATTTTGCCAGGAAAGAGTAAGTCTCTCTTTAGAGTAACTGTTAAGATTATTTTACTATGTTTCCTACACAAAAGTAATTATGGATGGGCACTGGTGATTCATGTATATAATCCTAACTATTTAGGAGACTGAGATCTGAGAATTACTCTTCCTGCTAACCTAGGCAGGAAAGACTGTGAGACTCTTTTTTTTGGGGGGGGTCCGGTCCGGTCACGGGGTCTGAACTCTGGGCCTGGGCGCTGTCCCTCAGCTCTTCAGCTCAAGGCTAGCACTCTACCACTTGAGTCACAGTGCCACTTCCAGCTGTTTTCTTTTTGCTTATGTGGTGCTGAGAAATCGAACCCAGGGCCTCATGCATGCAAGGCAAGCGCTCTACCACTGAGCCACCTTCCCAGCCCTGACTGTGAGACCCTTTTTTTTTTTGGGGGGGGGGGGGTCCAGTCGTGGGGCCTGAACTCTGGGCCTGGGAGCTATCCTTCAGCTCTTCAGCTCAAGGCTAGCACTCTACCACTTGAGCCACAGCACCACTTCTAGCTTTTTTCTTATGTGGTGCTGAGGAATCGAACCCCGGGCCTCAGGCCTGCAAGGTAAGAGCTCTACCACTGAGCCACCTTCCCAGCCCCGACTGTGAGACTCTTATATCCAATTAACCACCAAAAAGCTGAGAGTGGAGCTATGGCACTACCCTTAAGCACAAAAGATCAAGGACAGTGCCCAGGCTCTGAGTTCAAGCTACAAGGCTTATATTTAAAAAAAAACAACTAATAATGGTACATAAAAATAGTAAAGCCAAGTGTTAGTGACTCACAGCTGTATTCCTAGCTATTCAGAAGGCTGAGGTCTGAAAATCAAAGTTCAAAGCCAGCTGGGGCAGAAAAGTCCTTGAGACTCTTATCTCTAATAAGCTACTCAGAAAAAGATGGAAATGGCACTATGGTTCAAGTTGGTAGAGCCATAGCCTTGAGCAAAAGAAGCTCAGGGACAGTGCCCCAGAACTGACACACAAACACACAAAAAGTAATACAATATTAGAACTGGAGGTATATGGAGGCATAGTTTATGTGCTATGAACTATGAACAAAAAAAATAGTAGCATAACAAAAACCCAGTAAGTACTATATGATTCTAGTTTTGTAAATTTGTGAATTCATACACAGAGAGAGATTACTGCAAGAATGTTCACTAGTGTTAACAATAGTTTAGTGAACTCTGGTAGAATCTGAGGAAATTTTAAATCATTTTAAAAAATTTTTTAATTGTATGTTTTTCCTGGTACTGGTATTTGAACTAAGAGCTTCTTCCAGACTGGCTTTTTCTGTTCATACCACGTGCCCTACCCCATGAACCACATTTCCACTTCCAGCATTTTGTTGGTGAATTGGAAAAGAGTCTCCCAGTTTGTTTGCCCAGGTTAGCTTTGAACCTTGACCTTCAGATCTCAGCTTCCTGAGTAGCTAGGATTATAGGCCTGAATCTTATGTGTTTGGCTTAATATTATTATTATTTTGTTGGTGGTGGTGGTCATGGGGAGCTTGTACCTGGGCCTGGGCACTGTCACTTAGCTCCTCAGCTCAGGGCTAATGCTCTACCACTTCAGCAACAATGCCACTTCCAGTTTTCTAGTGGTTTATTGGAGATAAAAGTCTCACAGAAAGCTGGGCGCTGGTGGCTCACGCCTGTAATCCTAGCTACTCAGGAGGCTGAGATCTGAGGATCGCGGTTCAAAGCCAGTCCGGGTAGGAAAGACCGTGAGACTCCTATCTCCAATAAACCACCAGAAAACCGGAAGTGGCGCTGTAGCTCAAGTGGTAGAGCGCTCGCCTTGAGCTGAAGAGCTGAGGGACAGCGCCCAGGCCCAGAGTTCAAGCCCCACAACCGACAAAAAAAAAAAAGTCTCACAGACTTTCCTGCCCCAGCTGGCTCTGAACTGTGATCCTCCGATCTCAGCCTCCTGAGTAGCTATAATTATAGGCCTGAACCCTATGTCCTTGGCTTAAAATTGTTATTTTTTTTATATTTTATAAAAATTCAGTGAATTTTTTATTAATTCTCTTTCCTTCTTCCTTCCCTCCTTCCCTCCTTCCTTTCTCTCTCTCTCTCTCTCTCTTGGCTTGTCCTGAGACTTGAACTCGGGGCCTGGGTGCTGTCTCTGAGCTTCTGTGCTCAAGGCTGGCGCTCTTCACTTGTGCCTTTGCCCTGCTTTCAGCTTTTTTGGGGTTTATTGGAGAGAATAGTCTCAGGACTTTCCTGCCTGAGCTGGCTTTGAACCAGGATACTTAGATATCAGCTTCACGAGTAGCTAGGGCCACAAGTGTGAGCCACTGGCACCTGGCTAATAATCTTATTAAAAAAAAAAAGATATAAATTAAAGTCTAACTTGAAAAGGCAACTACAATTGATTCCTTTTTAGAAAAGATTTTTATATCATTATCATTACACTAAGGGCTCAAATAAAATATTCTTTGGAACAATTTCAAGTAAAATCCTTTTTTTTTGGGGGGGGGGCAGGGGGCAGTACTAGAACTCAAGTTCTCAAGCTTGCTAGGTAGCTGCTCTACCACTGAGTCATGACCTTACCCTAATTTTTGTACTATTTATTTTTGAGATATGGCCTTACTACCTATCCAGGCATGCACTTGGGCTGTGATCTGCTATTTTAGTCCTCCTATCCTAACTGGGATGACAGGCATAAGCAGCTATACCCAGCTTCTTTTGGTTGAGATGGACTCTCAAGAACTTTTCTGCTTAGGCTGACCGGAAGCCTTGTTCATACCAACTTTCACCTCCCAAATAGTTGGGATTACAGGCATGAACCACTGCATTCAGCTATGGGTTGACCCACTAGCCAAGAGTGTCTATTTTGAAAAAATATTTACTATAACTTTTTAACTTACATCTGGATACTTTTACACTCATGAAATGGCAACCTTACCAGAATTATAAGGAAGCCTAACAGACACAGTTCAATACTTCACAACAGAACATCCATTTCAACTTGTGAACCTCATGTCAATACCAGGCACCTGTGTCACTTCCTGACTTCAAAAGACTCCATAATGTTTTACACAACTCTTACCTCTTCAAGCTTCTTTTCGATCTCCTTGAAGATAAGGTCTGCCTTGAACCCGCTGCCTGCAGAGCTGGTGGGTACAGCCTTAATCTGATGTGTTCTAAAGGAAGCACAGAAGCAATTTGTTTTTATTCACTGAATCACATAGGTAGGAGTTCTCAACATTTATAACACAGTAGTTTTCGAAAACTCTAGGAACAGAGATGTTGCAATTCCTGTCTAGTGGTCCAGTAAGGCCTCTCAGGAGAGGTGACATTTAAATTAGATCTTAAACTATGTAAATAAGCTGGCCCTAGGTGATTCAGATAAGGAAGCCAATTCTAGCCTGCAGGACCTTAGGTATAAAGACTATAAAGGGGCTGGGAAGGAGGCTCAGTGGTAGAGCACTTGCCTTGCATGCGATTCCTCAGCACCACATAAGCAAAAAGAAAAAAGCTGGAAGTGGCACTGTGACTCAAGTGGTAAAGTGCTAGCCTTGAGCTGAAGAGCTGAGGGACAGCACCCAGGCCCAGAGTTCAGGCCCCATGACCAGACACAAAAAAATAAAGACTATAAGGTGCAAAGTAGCTTGACAGTTAAAGAAAATATAAAACCAGTACAGCTGGAACAGAGGAGAAAGGTCAGAAAAACACAAGGGGCACATAGCAAGTCCCTTTACAGATCATAGTCAGACCTTTCAGTGTTTTTTATTGTTTTTGTAGCACTGGGCTCAAACTCAAAGCATCATAACTACAAGCAAGTGTTCTACCATTGAGTTATACTCTCGGTTCTAGGAGTTTTGGTTCTAAGGGCTAGGTTAGAGTTCAGGGATAGAGTTTGTGCATGCACATGGCCCTGGATTCTCAGTATCACATTTTTAAAAAGTGTCTAGTTTTAGTGCAATAAAGAGAATAGTAGCATATGATCTACTTTATATGTTTTGAAAAGTAAATCTGGCTGTCAACTGGAAAATAGGGCAAGTGGGAAGTAGAGAGATCAACTGAAGTTACTGCAAGAGTCCAGTGAGATGATGGGAATCACAACAGAATTTCAGGGACTGGGGAGTAAGCAAGCAAAGATTACACTTCAGTTTTATTGTTCACCTACAATGCAAGATAAATAAAAAAACTGTCTGCTCATTGGTTATGGAACTAATTCATCTGTGGACCATACTTCCATGGATTCTGAGGAAGAGGAGGACACTTTAAGCTGCTAGATAAATACTGTCAAACCTCCATTAGCCAGTGAAGGCAGGGAAAAGACCAGGAAGCAGCAAGAAGGGTATGTTTGCTAGAAAGAAGCACAGCAGCTGCTCCTTCAGCTCTCCTTCCTCCCAGCTTGCTCGCCTTTCCTTTCATCTCCTCTTATGACAAGTATTAGAAACTGCTTTGGCTCCAGCTGGAAATGTGACTTAGTGGTAGAATGCTTGCCTAGCATGCGTGAATCCCTGGGTTTGATTCTTCAGTAGCACATAAACAAAGCGGGAAATGGCTCAAGTGGAGTGCTAGCCTTGAGCAAAAGAAGCTCAGGGACAGCGCCTAGGCCCTGAGTTCAAGCCCCAGGACTGGCCAAAAAAAAGAAAAGAAAAGAAACTGCTTTGGCTAAAAGCATGGGCGCTACTTGAGCCAGCAAATGTCCAAAGGATAACTAAAAGCAAGATAAAAAAGCGTACTTGCCTCCAAGGCACAGCTCTCTCCTTCACTCTGAGCTATTCTCTCCCCCATAAGCACTTTTTTTTTGTCAGTCGTGGGGCTTGAACTCTGGGACTGGGCGCTGTCCCTGCACTCTTCAGCTCAAGGCAAGCACTCTACCACTTGAGCCACAGAGCCACATCCAGTTTTCGAGTGGTTTATTGGAGATAAGAGTCTCTTGGACTTTTCTGCCTGGGCTGGCTTTGAACCTCGATCCTCAGATCTCAGCCTCCAGAGTAGCTAGGATTACAGGCGTGAGCCACTTTCTCCGGGCCCTAAGAACACTTTATCAGTGATAAAAGTCCACAAGGCTAAGATAAAACTAGTCACCAGGATACAAAGACTTTCTCCATGTGATAAAATCTGACCCACCAATCCAGAGATCTTGATCAACCATAACATACTTTGCCAAGATTATAAACCCCTTCAACCCTAATTCTTCCTCTACCTCCAAGATATTTATACTCCAAGATAAATTGAAATGCTTTCTGTCCTCTTCCTTCTCTGACCTTAACCAGTGCTGGTCTCTAACTGGCATTTAATGTAGTGAGTGGCCATATCCCCTGAGTTGGGCTTCTTGCCTGAGACCAGTTATACCCAAGCTTCAACCCATTTCTTCTTTCCCTTCCCTTTCATTCCTCTTGACAATTCATACACATCTGATGTCTGTTTGCTATACGTCAGGTAAGACATGTTTGAGGCAAATGCTATAATGGTGAACCTGTCCTCTGGAACCCCACTATTTAGAAGTCTGTCTAGAAGTCTGGGACAGGCTTCTAAAGCAGCTGCTGCTGCTGAGTACAGAAAAGCATGTCATAAGAGGCCCGAAAGAGCCAGGCACCAGTGGCTCACGCCTGTAGTCCTAACTACTCAGGAGGCTAAAATCTAAGGATTGGTTCCAAGCCAGCCCAGACAGAAAAGTCTGTGAGATTCTTATTTCCAATGAACCACCAGAAAACCTGGAGTGGCACTGTGGCTCAAACTGTGGCTAACCTTGAGCAAAAAAGCTCAGGAACAACACCCAGGCCCTGACTTCAAGCCCCATGACAAACAAAAAAGAAAAAAAAAAAATCTTTGTATTCTCAACCCAGAAGAGGCATTTGGTATACAGTTACTAAGTAGAATAGAAAATCCCTTCTCAATTCTTTTCCATTTGAAAAGAATTATCTAGTCTACCATCTTGGCTTAAAAAAATAATCTGAGGGGCTGGGAAGGTGGCTCAGTGGTAGAGCGCTTGCCTTGCATGCCTGAGGCCCTGGGTTCGATTCCTCAGCACCACATAACCAAAAAGAAAAAAGCCAGAAGTGGCGCTGTGGCTCAAGTGGTAGAGCGCTAGCCTTGAGCTGAAGAGCTGAGGGACAGCGCCCAGCCCAGAGTTCAGGCCCCATGACTGGACTCCCAAAAAAAAAAAAAAAAAAAATCTGAATGATGAGGCTAGGAATGTGGCTCCGTGGTAGAGTCTTGCTTAGCATGCATAAAACCCTGGGTTCAATTCCTAAGTACCACATAAACAGAAAAAGCCAGAAAAAAAAGTGGCGCTGTGGCTGAAATGATAAGAGTACTAGTCTTAAGCAAAAGAAGCTCAGGGACAGTATCCAGGCCCTGAGTTCAAGCTCCATGACTGGCAAAAAAAAACCAAAAAACAAAAAAAACCCTGAATGAATGCTGGGCAGTGGTGGCTCACATCCTTAATACTAACATCTCAGCAGGCTGAGATCTGAAGATCACTGTTCAAAGCCAGCCTGAGCAGGAAGTTGGTAAGACATTTATCTTCAGTTAACCACTAAAAAGCCAATTTATCTTCAGTTAACCACTAAAACGCCAGAAAGTGTATTAACAACAACAACAAAAAAAGCCAGTTAGTGTAAAATCTAAGTGGCAATGTCCAGGCCCTGAGTTTAAGCTCCAGTACTGGTGCACACAATGTGAATGAATAAACTAAAATCAAGTGGCCACAACCAATTCTCTACAAGCGAATTTCAATTTATTGATGGTCCAGTTTTTTAACATTTAAACACCACTGCACCCTTCTCAAGCCTGCCACTTCACTGTATATGATAAAGTAATCACTGGTAGAAGCAGCACTTTCCACAGTACAAAGTATCTCGGTTGTGTGGCAATGTCCAGGCAGGTTCCCAAAGGTCACAATCCCTTTATCTTGTTTTGAAAAGCTTATCAAGCTATGGATTAACCAACTTTCCACCCAGTTTAGAAAAAAGGTTAATATGTAAAGTACTATCAATATTTCCAGAAACCATTCCTTAAAATTTACAGCTGAGGGGCTGGGAATATGGCTTAGTAGTAGACTGCTTGCCTAGCATGCATGAATACCTGGGTTCAATTCTTCAGTACCACATAAATAGAAAAAGCTGGAAGTAAGCTGGGCACCTATGGCTCACACCTGTAATCCTAGCTTCTCAGGAGGCTAAAATGTGAGGATTGAGGTTCAAAGCCAGCCCAGGCCAGGAAAGTCCATGAGATTCTTTTTTTTTTTTTGCCAGTCATGGGGCCTGAGCTCTGGGCCTGGGCGCTGTCCCTCAGCTCTTCAGCTCAAGGCTAGCGCTCTACCACTTGAGCCACAGCGCCACTTCTGGCTTTTTCTGCTTATGTGATGCTGAGGAATCAAACCCAGGGCCTCATGCATGCAAGGCAAGTGCTCTACCACTGAGCCACCTTCCCAGCCCTCCATGAGACTCTTATCTCCAGTTAACTACCAGAAAACTGGAAGTGGCACTGTGGCTCAAGTGGTAGAGTGCTCACCTTGAGCAGAAGAGCTCAGGGACAGTGCCCAGGCCCAGAGTTCAAGCCCTAGGACAGACAAAAAAGAAAAAAAAAAAAAAACAGAAAAGAAAAAGCCAAAATGGCACTGTGACTCAGGTGGTAGAGCACTAGCCTTGAGCACAAAGAGGCTCAGGGACAGAGCCCAGACCCTGAGTTCAAGTGGCACTGTGGCTAAAGTGGTAGAGTGCTAGCCTTGAGCAAAAGAAGCTCAGGAATAGTGCCCAGGTGCTGAGTTCAAGCCTCAGGACTGGAAAAAAAAAAATTATACTTGAATACCCCCACTACACTCAAAACTGGTCACCTAAAATTTAGAGATTACTTACACATACTAAAAGATATTTCTCATCATTTCTTTTCATTTTTTTCTTCTGTCAGTAATGGGGCTTGAAGTCAGGACTTGGGCATTGTCCCTGAACTCCTTTGCTCAAGGCTAACACTCTACCACTTTGAGCCACAGCACCACTTCCAGTTTTCTGATTGTTAATTGGAGATAAGAGCCTCACAGACTTTCCTGCCTAGGTTAGCTTCAAACCTCCATCCTCAGATCTCAGCCTCCTGAGTAGCTAGGATTACAGGTGTGAGCCACCAAGGCCTGGCTTCATCATTTCTTTTTGTGAGACTTTTTTTTTTTTTTGTCAGTTATGGGGCT